GGGGGAAGGGACGTGGGAATTGTATACTAATGAAGGAATTTTTTTTCTTTTCTCTTCAGAGGGGGAAGCGAGCTGGTGGGGAAGGGTGGGAAGGGAGATAATTGCGGCAATGAATGAATGGAAATCCAAAACCTCTGTAAAAAAAGAAAATAAAATAAAAAATTCTAAAAAAAAAGAGAGGGATGGGAGTGAAATGAAAAGCAAGCTTGGTCATATGGGTTTTCTGGTCATTTCTGAGTTTATTGGCAGAAATTGTCAAGATCTTAAAGGGTATTGAAATCAAAGGTTTCATTCTCAGTCCATCGAAAGTCATTATCTATCTGGTATTGTGGCCATACTTGGTTACAGTACAAGATTTAGTCTCTTAGGGTGGAAGTCCTCTGCCAGAGCCAGGTTTGAACAGATAAAGAGAAGGTAGCCCAAGGGACTGGTCCCTTGGGGGCCTAGACATTTGGTTACCCATGATGTTGAGGTCTATGGGTGAGGCAACCAAGATTTTAGGGCATTCCCTGGAAACTGGGAGTCTCAGATATGGAGAGAGGACAAGGATGGCGTGGGCATCCCGTACAGCAATCAGTTCTCTGGGAAGAAGTGCCTGGCCCTACTTGGTATGAATGGACCTCCTGATACAGGTCTGTGATTTTCAGTGCAGACAGGAGTCCCATAACAGATGTGAATCACATGGGAGCTTAAAATACCTGGAGGCAAAATGTCTGGGGACTGTTCTGAAGAATGCCTGGGAAATTTTATATGTGAATGGACCTTTCAGAGGAAGAGAGAGAAGTCAGAAAAGAGTCTGAGAGTGGAGAGGCAGAAGTCAGAAGAATAGAAGCAAAGAGTTCTAGATGGGAGGAGGTGCCAGATAGCTCCCAACAAGGACTCTCTCAGAATAGAGGTAGCAATGGACAGGAAGAATGAGGAGTTCACGGAACGTGGACACTACTGACCACCGGACATAAAGACAAAATGAATGAAAATAGACAAAAGAGGGTCTGTCCATTCAATCCATGCAGGTGTTCCTCTGGCCGTGCCCCTTGTGGGGTAAAAGTATGCCTTAGCAATAGGCGTACTTGTGTCAAGCCTAGACCCAGTTGGTGTCCCTGGTTGTTATTGTTGTTAAGTGTCATCGAGTCGCAGGCGACTCATAGTGACCCTATGAAGGAGAGTCCTCAACGCTTGGGTGTCTTTCATCCTCTCTCCAGGTTCATAGGGTTTCCGGAGGCAAGCTATTACGGAAGAGGATGCCACTCCTCCTTCTAGGCTTGTTTTAACGGGGAGCTCCACCCCACTCTCTGTTCTGTCCGTACTGGGTGACCAACCATTAACGCATTTGACACATCAGTGTCACAGTGTTCAGCCTCATAGCAACCACAAGTTACTGCTGTAGGGCAACTTGTACACCAGGGCTATACAACCTAGAGGAATGTCTGAACAAAAACAATGAAAGGCCTGAGGGCCGTGGATTAAAAGTCACCCACCTTTGGCTTGGTAGCATCACCTTCTGTCCACTGGGTGAGCTGATCTCTCTATGTCGATGTTATTGTCGTTAAGTGCCGTTGAGTTGCCCCCAATCATCACTAAGCTGTATGACAACACCACAGAACCCAGGATGGGGAACTAATCAAACTCCATGGTTTCAGAGTAGCGTCAGCTGTGGAGCTTCTCGCAAGCACTCAAAGCACTCAGTCAGCAGACATATACACAGGAGAGGAAGGAAAGGGGTGATACATTATCGTTCAAGGTCTTGATGCTGCGTGGGCTGGTAAGTTCAATAGAGAGAGTGAGGGGTGCCACACTCAACCTCAACTCCTCAACCAGGCTTCAGTACCAGATAAAAGGTTTTGGATTAAAGCCAAGAACCATGTTGAGGTAGAATTCGTCTCAAAGTTTATTGCTCACCAGGCTACTCAGCAAGGGGAGTAGTGCTGGGAGTTGGGCTTATAGGGGCTTACGTGGGGTTTTAACAAGTATATTTTAGGGGTTGTGAGAGGAATTAGTGTTGCAGTAGCTCACTGGTGCATAATGTTTCTGATTTCGGAGAAGTTCCTGATATGGCAATTTCTGAGTTCTGGTTCTGGGAAATGTCCTGACATAGGATTTTCTGCATTCTGGTTTCAGAAAATATCCTGACATAGGATTTTCTGACTGAAACTGAGTCCAGAAGGGGGATGATGACTTTGCCTGGTGCCTTGTGGTGATATGCTGCATTCTTCAGTCCTGTAAATGGTCACCTGAAGAATGTGGTCCATCAGTATGGAAAACTGGGAACTGTAGCATGTCAGCAAGAAGAATAAACAGCCTCACCCACCTGAGTGACCAATAACTAACTACAGCAGAATGTCTTTACTCTTCCCCCTTCCCTAAGACCCTGTTATAAAAACCTGCCCAATCCACCTTGGGGCGCAGATTCTCTGGTCTCACTTTCTAGACCAAGAAATCTCAGCTGAGAGCCCCCTTCCTAAAGCTGCTTTAAGCTTGCTTGCTTTCTTTCTCTCTGGCATTATTCTCAAGTTTGCAACCTAACAGACCCCTGGCCCAACATGCTCTCCATATAGGTGCATGACTCACTCCCTCACTTCTTCCAAGTCTTTACTCAAATGTCACCTTCTCAATGAATCACTCCTTTTAAAACTACCCCACATGGTATGGACTTAACAAATTGATTTCATTGTCTGCCTCCTCAAGTCCAAGAAGGTTTTGTTCACTGTTATATCTATCCTCAGCTAGTAGGATAATGTCAAACTCTACATAAATCTCAGTAAATATGTGTTGAATGAATTTTTTTTAAACGAATGAATGAATAAATGAATTCTTTTTTTACAGAGTTTTCTCCAGGCCAGCTACTCCAGGCAACAATCATAGAAGCACACCAAGGAGACTTTTAGATCATTTTGATAGGATTGACTCCACAGATAGCTGATAAGCATCAGTAGAAAGATTAATGGCTTTCATTTTAGAAATTTTATTTTTTGTAAACATTCTTAAAATGCATTTTTTCCAAAATGTCTATCAAGACCCAAAACAAAGACAATATCATAAATACAAAACTGATAAGTTTTCAAAACATACAAAACTCATACAATGTAAAAAACCAAAAACTTTGTATATACAAAGTTCAGTGGCATTTCCAATGGAAAAAATGAAGCCCAAGAAGATGCTTGAAAATGCTCTTCTGTCAACTACAAAACAATATCCTCCTCTTGAATGGCTCTGAGAACTGATGGGAAATTACTCAGCCTCTCCCTTTATCTCATAGGGCCTCATTTTAGTTCCATTTTTCTTTTTTTATGTCCTTTAAGACAAGGGCCATCAAGGCTTTTTAAAAGCTGATGACTGTTTAACAGTCTAGAGACTTTTCAATCCAAAAGTTAATGTTTTAAAACTCTAAGCTACAGGAGCAATGGATTCCTACTCATTGCATTCAAGTCATGATTTAGATACTCTAAGCATCTGAATATACACCATTTACAGAAATTTCTTTTTATAAAGTTAAGATTTTCACATATTTGTTTAACCTACAATAGCCTATAAACTAGTTTAACAAAAACCAACAACAACCAACTCAGTAACGTAAAAAAATTATTATTCACTCCATTTAAGGTTTCCTCAAATGCTAAACAGGACTAGCTAATCTAAAATACATCTGAATAGTCACAATCACAATCCACGCATGCCCCCACCTACAGATATGCACCAACAACAGAAACAAGCTCATATGGGTGATACTACACCAATTTGTTAATACTACGGTCAATTTCATTTTGTTCCTATGAAGGCTTCAAAAAATTTTGCATTTGGGTTACTTTCTTATACATGGAATCCACATCTATTATTCATTTATTCCCAGTTTCCTTACTGTATTTCAGAAAAAATGCTTAGATTGAAACTTCAATTAAAATTCCTAATTCAGGAGGTCAAAAAAAGTTAGTTATTGATGTTGATGAGCTTCTTTCCCATCAAAAGCTCTCCTTCCTGATTAACCTCAGTAGAAGGAGGAGGGGAAAGCGGGAAAATAGGTTGGCTTAGATGGAAGACTAGAAAGTAAAAACATCATCTTCTAGAGACACAATGACTTTTCTGGTTCTCTGCTGAAATTCACTAAGGTAACAGCACTGACAATGCCATTCGTCTCAAAGTGAAAGGAAAACAGAAGAGCACTTTGTTGTTTCACATTTCTTAAAGAAACCTATTATTAAAATTTAGGATTGGCGTTGATTCCTCCCTAATTATTTTGTTTTACTAACATTTAACTGTGGACCAGCTGCCAAAAAAAGAAGAGTGAGGATTAAGAAAGGTAAGGATGCCCAGAAGTCTAGGAAATGTAAAAAAAAAAAAAAATTCAGAGACAAAATCGCTTCTAAATTAGGTAAGGACAACCGGAGTCCAGTTATGGTCCAAGACTGTCATTAGCTAAGTAAAAAAAACAGAATATTAATAAAATCTACTCTCTCCAATAAACATTAACTTTGCTTCATAGAGAGAACTTTGTTAACCTAAGACTCACTAATTGAGTTAATGAAAGGAAATGTTGAAGATCATGTACACAGAAACAGTATGTTTAAAGCAAATGTAAAGGGTGCAAATAAGCTGGGGAAATTATATCCCTGTAGGGTATAATGTGGTTCTGAGAGCAGGCTACTTTTAACAGTAAGATGCAATCTGTATAATGATATTAAAATATAGATTCTCATTAATTATGTGAGCCAATTTGAATGTATCCAGAGAGAATTTTACCAACAGTGCAACAAGGTATGTATTTACATTTGCAGTTGTATCTTAAGGACAAACCATAAACAATGCAGATGATGATTACAAAAAACCCAAGATTAAATGTGTATTTTTCTGGGAAAAAGTGAGATTAATATTTATCCAAAAATAAGCACTTCTGCAATGAATGTAATACTACAAAACAATTCACAGTTTTATAAAAAGTGGCAACAGTTTCATTAGAATTTTTTCTCATGCGAATTTCAAAATAATTCCATTTACATTACATGTAACTACTCTAAAATCTGTAAAATATATAAAATACCAAGATTATCAACAGTCACGTATGTTCTGAAGTCAGGAGACACGTGTATCTTCTTCAGATTGGTTCCATTTGTGTAGAAGGTCTGTAGAGATTCCCCAGTGACAACATTCCACCACTATTCAGAGAAAAAGAAAATTATCATTAGACTGATAATTATACTATGTGGCAATTTACAGTGCTGACCAGAACTTTTGCCCTATCACTTCTGTCTCCCAAACTTAAGCTAATAGCAGGAAAGAAGTCTAAGGTTTAATGCTGCAGTATAATATTATCACCCTGATCGACCTTCTCTGATTAACCTTGGCCTATCTCACAGCTATGCCTGCACTTAACGCTACTACTGGCATGCTAGAGATAACGGCTAAATGAAACTCCTATGTCTGCATGTCTTCCTTAGTGGAGTGGACAGATTTCTCTCAACAGCCTAAAATGACCCTCTGCAAGCACAGTGATGTTCTGTTAGGTACCCAGTCCTCTTTGTAATATACGATGCAGGAAAGAATGTGTTCTTTCTTGAATCACAAGTCCATAGCCAAGTTTGTTAAAGAGAGAGTGAAAATCTAAAACATAAAAGGCATTCTGACCAAGTCTTTCCCTTTCTCCTCCCAATAACTGAGCTTACTCAGGTAATAATATTCCTAATCAGCTACTAACTGGAAATCATAAAGCTTACTTATGTATCTCACAGCTAAAATGACAGTAGAAGAGATAATAGAAAAACAATGTGAGAAGCATTCAGGTATGGCAAGGTTCAGGCACACCAAGAGTTCATAAACCCAACAACAGTGCCCTAACTTTTGAATCCCTAGCAGCATCCAGCATTTGGCCATTCTCATGTGACTGGACTAATTCCTGTTCACTACTGGTTGTAGAAAATGGCAAACTGTATAACATGGACTTTAGAGTAGGTCTCACTGAAACAGCATGAACTAACCTCAGATTTTTTAGGCATTGGTAAACTGTCCTTAGAAATGTTGCTGTGTAACATAAAAATCACAAAGAAGATTGTACAAAATACATTCCACCTACTTGAAAATACTTAGTACTTTTCAGCTATTTATTCCGTTTCTTTACTATATTTCAACTTGCAAGTCAAGGTTACAAGGCAAACTGTAACAGTAGCAAGATCTTTACGGATCACCTAATCTAATGAGGTCATTTTACAAATAAGAAAGCCAGGGTTTTGAGAGAAGAGAGACCGTCTCACCCAAGACAACACAGGGAGAAGAGTCTGAGATAACAGCAGAAGTGAGGTAGTTTCAGTGTTCCCACTACCCTTTCCTTTGTTAAAACAGACCACTCTACTTGAAAACCCTAAACCAGTCATTTGTTTGAACATGGACTTAAAGAAAATAGTAATATCAACATAACAGCTAACACATTACATGATGTGCTACTATGTGTACATGCTTTGCATACATTAACCCCTTTAACTCTTTCAAGCTATGAAGTACATATTATTATTATGACTATTCCATAGATGAGAAAACAAAGGGACAGAGAAGTAAAATATCTTGTGCAGTGTCATGAAGCTAATGAATGGCAGAGCCAGGTTTTGAACACAAGTATTACTTACTTACTTGGAAGCCCCTTTGCTGCCGCTGAGTAACACAGTACACCTGTGTATCTCTCCATGTGCTCCATATACAAAAATCAGCCTTCTCGCTCATGAATATGAATTAGTGTAAATTTCTTATCATTCAAACAGTATGGGCTTTGGCATAATGTAGAAAAGCAGCTAAGTTATCTTACTGCTTTAACATATAAATAGGAATAATTTTGAGAATTAAGAGCTTTTTAGCTATGGGGCAGCTATCTTGGTGACAATTTCTACAGGCTGGAGTCTAGAATAAACAGACTCAAAGGGCTATTTTCTTGGACATTACAGCAGCTGTTCCTTTTTTACTGTTAACGTGCTCAATGATTTGCCTAGTCTCATTGGCATGCTGGGAAGTAGGCTGGACTATATCATTCAGTTTAGTCATGCTAGTAATCTAACTAAGGAAAGTAGCATGGCTGTGACTTAAATAGACAAAGGCAACACATAGGCTACGGATTACTTCACCTTTATGACATAAACTCCACTGTACGTAGGGATCACTATTCTACCGCTGACTGCAAGGTGCTCCAAGAACTCTGCAAATCTAGTCATAGATTTTTACAACATCTTGTAAACCAGATTCCTAATAATGTGACAACACTGGACTGGGCCTAGAGAATCAAATGACAGATATAGTGTCTAGAGGCTCCCTGTCAAAGCTTTTCCACATTTATTACAGTTCAAGACTCCTAGCATCCAACACAAAGTCAGCAACGCTTCTCAGCATCATTCCCAGAGCTAACTAAGAGTTAACAAAACAAAGATTTTACTTTTAAGGAAGAAAAACTAATTCAGGATGTCCAAATCCCTCAATAAGTTGTGCCTTAAAAAGGTGTGAGTTAATGCAACATTTTGTAAACTGAGTTGTACTGTCGATGAAATCTTACAAAGGGTTTCATAAAGTTTATCCTTTCCAAAAGAAAAAAAAAGTCCTCCAATTTATCTTTTTATACACTGTATGTTTCTGTTTAGTCAAATTGCAATTACATGGGTCCTATAAACCAAAAATTTTCATTAGTTCACACAAATATTTTTAATATCTACACTGTGCTACACTTACCTACATTCAATTAAAAAATGCAACATCATAAAGTCATTCAAGAGATCTATTTTAAAGGAAAAAGCTTTTAAAATGTCTAAGTGAAATACCACTTGACCCAGCAATTCCACCACTGGGAATACACCCTAAAGAAACCTGAGCCACCACTCAAACAGATATATGCACACCCACATTTATTGCTGCATTGTTCACAATAGCAAAGAAATGGAAGCAATCTAAGTGCCCATCAACAAATGAATGGACAGAAAAATGATGGGACATGTACAGTATGGAGTAATTATGCAGCACTAAACCACAAGGAACTTGTAAAACATTATTCAATATGAGGAAGCCTGGAGGACATTATGCTGAGTGAAATATCTCAGTCACAAAAGGACAAATAGTGCATACCACCACTGTTAGTAAAGAGGACAGGCGTGGAGGTGGGTGGGAAGAGAATGGAAAAAGAGTGCAGGAACACTGCATTAGAACATATGAGCAGAAGAACTGTCTAAAAAAAATACATGATTAGGCATTTTATGTATGACAACAACCTGGAACAAGGGGTGCTTTGTGGGGTGAAAGAAAATGTTCAACAATGAAAAAAAATTTAAAAAATAGCAAGGAAACTGTTGCTCCTGAGTGCTACATAGTATTCCATTGTGTGAATTTACCACAATTTCTCAATCCATTCAGTTGTGATTGAACATTTGGGCTGTTTCCATGCTCTTGTGATGGTGAATAATGCTGCCGTGAACACTGGTGTACAAATCTCCGTGTCTCAATTCTAATTTCCTTGGGGCATATACTACTACGAAACTTGGGAGCGGCTTGGGAGCATTATGCTTTCGTGAACTAACACAGTCTTAGGACAAATATTGCATCAGACCATTATTGTAAAAATAGAATGATAACTAGTAAAACATGTATGGGAACTCAAGGAGCGGAGGGCTGAGGATGGGTAATGGTGAAAACACAGGTCTGCACAGTTTGGTGAATGGAGACTGGGGAGAAGTAAATGGGAAGGACTTGACTTGGGCGAAAAGATAAAGTTAAGATGGGCAAGGTATACTGGTGATTAATTTCATAAAATATAATGCATGAAAATGATTTTATGAAACACAATGTGAATGAAGAATAGTGTGAAACACAATATATATGAACTTTATAAGCAAACCAATTAAAAAAGGTAAAAAAGACAAGGAAAAAAAGAAAAGAAAACGTCTAAGTAGACAGTCAACGTTTAATATCATCTCCTCTCCCCTTAACTAGTCAACCGCCATTCAAAAGATTCATCTCAGCATCTCCCTGTACTATGGCACTTCTATGTTCCCATGTGTAAAAATGGCCACTCTTCTCTTTCCCGCGTCTACTATCCTCTACCACCTACTTTAAAGACTGCATGTTGGGTTGCTATGCAGATGGTCAGTCCACCGAAGGAAAGGACCAAATCTGACACACTGCATCATATAGTACAATGTCTTATCACAAACTGAACACTGAGCACAGTCCTGTGTAATAGATGAAACACAGCAGCACAAACAAACGATTTGGAAGCACAACATACTCAAGTTCTGGCTTCATATTCACCAATAAAGTTGCATAAGCAAGTATGACAGCCACCAGAAAAATGAATTGTAAAAAGATCTGGGTCTCAGTCCTAGCTCTTCTGCTTACTATGGGCTTGTTTTTTAACTATGAAATTTTAACAAAGTCATAACCTGAATGACAATCGCTTTCCTCATCTAGAAACCAAGGATAATAAAATTTAAGCCTCAAAGTTGCGAGATGATCTAAGTAAAGCAATTTGTACATTATAAACAATATGTTGCTGCTGCTATAGCTTTTATTATAATTAAAGGAGAAGGAATTACAAATATCTTTTTTTAAAGACTTTGAGCCAAAACAGTTATTTGTAAAATAAAGATAACCATCTTGTCACCCATTAGCCATTCTAATCATTTAAGATTATGTATGAGGCAACAGGCAAGCCCTGGACAAAGAACACCCCTAACCTTTTCACCACAACTCCCAGGAGTCTGAGGCAAGTCGTCTTGTAGACCCTCGTCTTCCCACTGCAGAATGGGGATAAAAGGGGCCACCCTTCTGTTTTCTTGGTCTGTATGAGGCTTCACTGAGATAAGGGAAGACAGCAGTGAAAGAACACTATAAACTGTCCTCTGCTTGCATTAACATCATTAAGGAACTCTTACCTTAAGATAGCCCCCAGCAGAGACAAGCATTTTGCCATCTGGAGAAAAGCAAAGGTCAGTCACCCAGCCTCCATGGGTAGCAACTCCCTCTTCTGCTGAAATCGGAGCACACAAATGAAGCAGCTCACCGTTTGAGACATTCCATATCTGCATAAACATGACACATGGTTCAGTGATAGTGCTGCCCACATACAGTTTTAAAACACACATAGATCATCCGGAACATACTTAGATATCTTGCTTTAAAATATAATTTGTGATGCTTTAGGGATTTAAAAAAAAGATTACATTCTCTCTACCTCAAATGGGGGAAAAAACCACTATCACCCAACCAAACAACAGCAAATTATAATAAATGCTTATTTATTACAATATATATTATTAACTATATTTTTAAAATATAAGACTAGAATAAATTACTGAAATATTGCGAC